AAGAAGTGCTACTGTGGGCAAAAAAATGCTATCAAACATCATTGCATGCTACAGAGAAATCGTTTGTGAAAGGAAGGATCAATCACTGTGGCAAACTTCATTGTCATCTTATTTTAAGAAATTGCCAAAAAAAATTAAAAAAAAGAAAAAGAAATTGGCCCAGCAGTTCTTAGCCTTCAGCAACCTCAACGCAGAGGCAAGACCCTCCTCCAGTGAAAAGATTATGACTCGCCAAAGGTTCAGATGACGGTTAGGGCTTCCCTAGTGGCCCAGTGGTAAAGAATCTGCCTTCGATGCAGGAGACTAGGGTTCAACCCCTCTAGGTCAGGAAGATCCCCTGGAGGAGGGCATGGCAGCCCACTCTAGTATTCTTGCCTGGAGAATCCCATGGACAGAGGGACCTGACAGTCTACAGTCCATGGGGTCCAAAGAGTCAGACATGCCTGAGGGACTGAGCACACACACAGATGATGACTAGCATTTCTTTAGCAATAAAGTCTTTTTAAATTAAGAGCCTCTTGAAGATAAGAGAGGGGAGTGAAAAAGCTGGCTTAAAACTCAACATTCAAAAAATTAAGATCATGGCATCCGGTCCCATCACTTCATGGCAAATAGATGGGAAAACAATGGAAACAGTGACAGATTTTATTTTCTTTGGCTCCAAAATCACTGCAGATGGTGACTGCAGCCATGAAATTAAGAGACACTTGCTCCTTGCAAGAAAAGTTATGACAAACCTAGACAGCTTATTAAAAAACAGAGACATCACTTTGCTAACCATATAGTCAAAATTATGGTTTTTCCAGTAGTCATGTATGGATGTGAGAGTTGAACCACAAAGAAAGCTGAGCACTGAATAATTGATGCTTTTAAACTGTGGTGTTGGAGAAGACTCTGGAGAGTCCCTTGGACAGCAAGGAGATCCAACCAGTCCATCCTAAAGGAAATCAGTCCTGAATATTCATTGGAAGGACTGATGCTGAAGCTAAAGCTCCAATACTTTGGCCACCTGATGCGAAGAACCAACTTACTGGAAAAGTCCCTGATGCAGGGAACGATTGAAGGTGGGAGGAAAAGGGGATGACGGAGGATGAGGTGGTTGGATTGGGTATCACTGATTCAATGGACATGACTTTGAGCAAGCTCCAGGAGATAGTGAAGGACAGGGAAGCCTGGCATGCTGCAGTCCATGGGGTCGCAAAGAGTTAGACATCACTGAGCGACTGAACAACAATGACAATTTTTAAATTAAGGCATATACATTGTTTTTTAGACATAATGCTTTTGCATGCTTAATAGACTACAGTGTAGTGCAAATATCTTTTTTTATTCGCTAGGATGCAAAAACCTCTTGTGACTCTTTATTATGACACTCACTTTATTGCAATGGTCTGGAACCAAACCCACAGTATTTCCAAGGCATGCCTGTGTAAAATGCTTTGTAAACTGAAAGGTGTGGTGCAAATCTGGGTAATCGCTTCATGAACCAGCTTTACTATATGGAGTGTTTTTTTTATTTTAGTCAAAGGGATCCATGGGAAGTTATACATGTAAGCTCACTGTCTGTAGAAGTAATATAGAAATGTTTATTCTGCTGTAACCAATATGACTGGTGATTCATGTTCATGAAAAACAGCTGTGATGGCTATGATTTGGAAAAATGGTTTTGTGCGAGTTATCTGAAGAGCGAGGTGGCCAAGAACCACCCTGCTCTCCCTGCCGGCCCTTTGCCTTGTCCTGCAAACTTGGAAGGGTTTGTCTTGGTTGCTGTAGCTTTCAGAACCAAACCACAGAAGCAGGCAATGCTGGTGAACCTAGCAACAGCCCAATACCATGGAGACCAGTAAACGAGTTAGGGTGTGGCCCCAAAGTGGTTAAATGTTGTGGTGTTTGCTGGTGAGCTATGAGTCTGATGTTCCCAGAACAAAGTTAGATCATTCTACTTACCTTCTTGTCCTTTATTAGGCGTCCCTTACGAAGTTAAGTTCCTGCACGTAATCTTCTTGCACATTAGAGAACTGCTTTTGAGTTCTGGGACATTACACTTTTGGGGGGACGGCTCCAAGCAGCATAAACATGGTGGCTATTAGGAATGCCTGGGACAATTGGAGCTTTCACAAAAGCTGAGGCCCCTCTCAGGACAGAGTCCCTGGGTTTAGACAGTACCTGGGTGCTTGTAGGTGAGTGACTGCCAGCACCTTGGAAGGAAAGTAGGGATCTTGACCAAAAGAAGGGAAATGGAACCTGTGTCATTAACCTCACAGCTCTTTATATAAAGACCCTGGGCCCACACTGGAGCAGTCAGGATGGATGGCCACCCTCTTCCTGACCCCTCTCCCGTCCCCCTCCCCCATTTTGCAGCTCGGATCTTTCAAAGGTGCCCTGGGTTTCTTCTGCCAACCTCCCTGAAAATAGAACCTGGGGGCTTGTCTGATTTCTTCTTACCTGACACTCTTAGGTGATTCTGGTTTTGTCTTTCCCAATATAAAGGATTTAGATTACTCTGCCTAGTGGAGGAGGAAATGGTGACCCACTGCAGTGTTCTCACCAGGAAAATCCCATGGACAGAAGAGCCTGGTGGGCTGCAGTACACAGGGTCTCGGAGTCAGACACGACTGAGCACACACACACGGCTAGTGACCTAAAGCTGTGAGCACCAGGGTGAAAATGTAGTGCATGTCCCTGGTTTCCATTCAACAAAATGTCACTTTCTTTGACTTCTGCATGGACTTTCCCAGCACCAAGTGTGTAGGTGCCACTCAGTAGTCATCCTCACAAGTGTCCTTGGTGAGTTTAAAAAACAAGAGCGGGGGGGGGGGGGCACTGCCGGGAGGGGGCCCCAGGAGGGCCCCTTTTCATTGGAGAGCTGCTTATATCAAAATGAAGGCAACTACACCCTCTACACTGTGTTCTGGGGCCCTGGGGTCTAACTAACACAGAGAAGTGTAAATTCTGCAGCACTTGAAATACAGACTGACATTTGCCCTACAGCTGGGACCGGTCTGAGCTGTCCCCCCAGGGTGGCTGGCTGGAACACATGTCAGAGTGTCATGGCCTCTCATCTAGAAGGATGTTGGTACAGCTGCTGCTGCTACTGGGTGGAGTCAGAAATCTCTTGTGCCTTTACTATTATTATCTTACTGTTGGTGTTGTTAGTTTGTTCCTGGGACTAAAATTAATCAGCCAGTTGTTTCTTCTGCAACAGTGTCCTGCCACCTGGGGCTTCTGCAGCTGGGCCTTCCCATAGCTTCTGTGGGGGCTGTGGGTTTGTTGTCTTCTCTGGGGCTACACACGATCTCTCCCAATTCTCAGCCATGTCAACCCGTTGTTGCCCAGCTTCCCTCCAGATGCAGGGCAAGGCAGGCAGGCCCGGGTGCCTTGCGGGGGGTTTCTGGAGGCAGGGGGAAGACAGGGGGCCAAGAGGCAGCCAGGTGGCTCCAGCGACTGTGCTCCAGGGGCCCTCCCCTTCACCCTGGCCACTTTCATTATCACTAGCACGTTTCAGATGAAACTCGACACAGGGGCTAAGTAACTTGGTCACAGTCCGACTGTAGCCAGAGGGTTTAATTCCAGGGCCCACTTCCCTATGCAGTTTTCATAAAGCTGATAACTAGCAACTGGAACGAAGAAGGCAATGGCACCCCACTCCAGTACTCTTGCCTAGAAAATCCCATGGACGGAGGAGCCTGGCGGGCTGCAGTCCATGGGGTCGCTAACAGTCGGACATGACTGAGCGACTTCACTTTCACTTTTCAATTTCATGCACTGGAGAAAGAAATGGCAACCCACTCCAGTCTTCTTGCCATGAGAATCCCAGGGACGGGGGAGCCTGGTGGGCTGCTGTTTATGGGGTCACACAGAGTCGGACAGGACTGAAGCGACTTAGCAGCAGCAGCAGCAACTGGAAGGCCACCTGGGAGTTGGGGGGTGGGGGTGGGGAGGGTGCAGGTATCTACAGGCGTTTCCCTGAGACCGGCAGGACAAATGAAGCCTGTTCCCTGTGCCCGGCTCAGGGAGATGTGGTCATAGGGTTCCAGGTGGCAAGTAGCTATAGAATCTGCTGATCTACATCAGAATATTCCAAGTGAAAGTTCCCAGAAGGCGATTTTATTAACGGGTTATCCTTCTCATCTGTGGAACTGTTACTCAAATTATCTTTGCTTTCCACCAGAGATTCCCCAAATCCCATAAGTATTTACACAAAATAACTTACAATTATTTTTTCCAACGTGTATAATCAAGAACTGTTAACACACTAACAGATTTTAAAAGTGTTATAGCAAGAAGACAAGCTATTAAAGGTATGCATTTCAGTCTTTCTGAAAATCATTCTTGCGAACCTGACACTGCTGTGCATTAAAGCTTGGCAGCTGTGTTCAGGACCTCATCAAAGTTGTTGACACCTGCAGTTTCTTCCACAGCGGCCACTCTGGGTCTTTACGGGCCTTGCATTTGTGCTGCCCCTACTCCCTCCTAGGTTAGAACCTCCCATCCCCCCCAGAACCTCCTCTGTCCACCCCACCCCGTCCCCCCCACACACGTACACCCTTCCTTCCAGAGCACCCTCCCCTGAAGCCAGAGCGGGAAGGTGAGCGCACACAGGCCGCCGCGCGCTCTTTACTGGGAGCTAGGTTAGGGTGGCGGAGGAGATCAAGATCGGGAAACCGGGCGACGATTAACATTTCAGTGCGCATTGGTGGTCTCTAAAGACGCTTGCTGGAGCCGCCTTTGCAGAGACCTCGGCCCAGCCTTCCTGTTGAAAGTTTTTATTTTGAGGCGGGGAGGTGGTCTTTTCTGAGAAGGGCGTCCGAACACGTGCCCCCTGGGCAAGGTCAGCAGGGGCCGGGGCCGCCTGGACGCGGGGTAGGAGCAGGGGGCGCCGCGGGCGCGGGGCTTGGCCAAGACAGGCTGGCATTCTGATGAAAAGCTGCGTCCTTCCTTCCCGTAGCTCCCGCCCCGGCCTGGCGAGGTCGGGACACGTTTTCATGATTTGCTTGTAGGACTTTTAAAGAACGAGTCACGCGTGTTCTGGGGCTGGAGGAGGCGCGTGCGGAGCCGCGGGGGCCCAGTCCCGCCGCGGACACTCCCCCTCCGCACGGCCCCGGCCTCGCACAGGGGCCGCAGGACCTCCCGCAGGACCCTGGACGGTGCGGCCAACCTCCCCCCGCCCCCACCAACCCCGGCCCTGAGACCCCGGATCCGCGCCGAACCTCATTCTTCCGCCGCGGCTTCCTGAGCGGGAGCCGGGCAGGGGGCGCACCCGACCCTCAGATGCTTGTTCTCACCCCCGCGGGCCGCGCATTCTGGTCGCCCTAGAAGGCGGCCCTTTCTCCGGGGGACGCGTAACGAGGTACCCCGGCCAGCAGATGCTGCGGAGCTCGGACGAGGCTGCCGTGTCCGCAGAAGCTCAATTTGGCCTGAATTTGGGGCCGCAGCCCAGCACCGACGGCGCGGGGGCGGGGAAAGGGGGGCCGAAGGGAGGGGGAGGCGGAGGCGGGCGGGGGCGCGGGCGGGGCCTGGGGAGACTGTCCCCTCCGCCCCCGGAGGACCCCACCCCCAGGACTCCGCCCGCCAGGACCCCGCCCCCGCGCAGAATCCTCCCCCGCACCGACCCTTCCCCAAGGGGAGCCGGGCCCCGCGCGCACCTCCCCACTCCCGCATTTTCCAAAGGCCCTCAGTTCGCCCTCCCTCCGCGGGTGGTGGGTGACCGGGGCCGGCAGGGGGTCTCCTCCTCGGGTGGGGGCCGGAGACGGCTGCGTGGTGATTAATGACCGCGCCGGGGGGCGCGGCGTGAGGGCCAAGCGCGCCGGATGGACCCGGAGGACGGCGAGGGCGGAGCGCAGGGGCGGAGCTCGCAGGAGGGGGCGGCCCCGTCTCCTTGGCTCCCCGCGCCGGCCCCCGCCCCGGCCCGCAGGCCCCGGCCACCTGCGCCCCGCCCCTGCGGCCGCACCCGAGCCCGGGAACCGCGGAGGCGCGCTCCGCCCGGGCGAGGGCAAGGTTGCCGTCCCGACACGCGGGTCGTCTCCGGCACCGCGATCCCGCCGTTCTCGGCATGCGGCTACGCTGAGAGCCCGCCCGCGGATCCCGGGAGCCCGGCGTCCACTGAGGATCTTTGCTGGCTGTGTGAGAGGGTGGCCTTTAGCCGGCAGGATGACCAACCCTGCGGCCGCGCAGAACCAGGAGATAGACTGCCTAAGTCCAGAAGCTCAGAGACTGGTAAGAGGAGAACACGTCTTCGAAACATTTGGTTCTGACTGCGAATGTTTGGACCTTGTGGATGTGCTGGGGCCGGCCGAGGGCGGGCGCCACCTTCCACCGCAACCATCTGTGCCTGGTGAGGTGTGGGTGGGCCCCGCCTGGCCGAGGACCCCGTTATGCGAAAGTCCGTCCCCTCGCGAGGATGTGCGGCGGGGCGGGGGTGGGATGTGCTCTGTTCAGTTCGCGGTTTCATTTGTGCTGCCCGCCTTGCGCCCCGGAAAGCACGTTTCCTCGGACGGCGTTCCTTACCAAGGCGAAAAGGAGCTCGGTCTAGTCCGCTCTGGCCGCACTGACGGGCTCGGCCCAGTTGAGTGTTTCGACCGCGGATCCAGCCGAGATCTGAGACCTGCGCGTGGTCTAGAGTTTCACTCAGAACTGCTAGTTTGGTGTTTTACAAAACACAGCACTTGGGCACTGGTGGCCAGGGGCGGTGCCTTCGCCCTGAGGCTGGCACCCCCAGTGGCTGGGTGGTTTGGAGTGCTTATCTTTCTCTGGGCCTTAGAGCCTTCTCTAGCTCCCCAAGACTCCAGTTCCCAAATCCTCCTTGGCTGGTCTCCTGGGACCTCTGCGTCTGGAAGGGACCTTCCATCTGTGGGCTTTTGCAGTTATCCAGTTCAACACCCAGTATTGGGACCATGGATGTGAGGCATTAGATAGAACCCAGCAGGGGATGGAGTGGGGACAGTTTGTGATTACCCATTTTCCTGCGGCTTGTGGCTGATCATGAATGGGAATATTTAAAAGTGAAAGGTGCAATTTGGAAAAGACATACATTATTAAGTTAATACTGTAGAGAGAGAGAGAGACCCTAGATTTCCACTTTATTGGGCCTTTGTGGAGCCTTAATCGAAGTATGAGCCCCGAATAATCACTCCTTCACCAGACAGGAATTAACCACCTACTGAGTATTTCTGGAAGGTTCAAGATGAATAAGACTGCCCTGCTCTGAGCTTCCTGGTCAACCCCAGAAAGGTGTAGCAATAGATTCTGATGAACACACACTTGAAAATTGCATTCCTTACTGAGGACTGTCAGGTGGGTATTATTTTTAATGTCCACATTCTGTGTGCTCCCCTGGCCTCACTTAAGGTTTCAGCCTCGAACCAGACCCTTGGAGCTGGTTCCTACCCCTTCGCCTAATTGGGAACCTGCAGAGAGAGCCTGCGTCAGCATCAGGGACGGGCCCTGGGAAGAAAGAAGGACGGGAATGCTCTGAGAAAGGCCGGTGCTCCCAGGAGCCGCCTAGGCAAGCCATAGATGGCAAGAACAGACTGATGTTAGTCCTGGGCAAGATTTGAGCTCAGAGGAATGAACTGCTGGACACGGAGAGGAACAGAGTGACCGTGGGGAGTGGGGTCTGAGTAGAAACAGCACCTCTTGCTCGACGGCACTCCATGCAGCGTCTCCTTAAGCTTTAGCTTACCCCGGGATCAGGTCTGGTGGAGATGTGTGCCTCACAGAGATGCTGCCGGGAGCCGGTGCCAGGAGAGACTGGAACAGCTGCTTAATGAGAAGGCGCCCACCTCCTCCTGCCCGTGATTCCAGGATCCAGTAGTCAGAAAGCTAAGGCTGTTTCTCTTTTTTGTAAGTTGTGAGCAGAATTCATTTGGCAGTGATGGGAGGCTATTTGTGTCCCCTCCCAAGTCTCATCGTATTGTGGGGTCCTGTGCCAAGGTCCCCAGGTCCTATTTATTTGGCTGATGGGAGGCTATTTTCAGTCTTTATTCTTCTTAGTGTGAACGCACATACATTTCTCTGCAGCCGTGTTAAGGTACTTGATTAAGGATTACTCTGAGTTGTTACAGAACATATGGTGTATGCCTCTTATTACCCTTCTAAAACCCCAAAATGCTGAATTCTGAAACATCCTTCGTCTCAGGGATTTTCAGTAATCAGTTGTGAACTTGTAAGAGTTTTTGTTTGTTTGGGAAAGGGGTTGTTGGGGAGGGGTTTGTTTTTAATTAAAAAAAAGCAAAAAAAATTTTTTTTTAAAGCAGAACATGGGGAACAGAAGTAAAACACAGTCCTTATTTTATGACGTTAGTGGTTGAAAGGAAACAAGTGGGCTGGGGTGGGGTGGGGTGGGGTGGTGTGGTGTGGGGTGGGGGTAGGGTGTTGGGTGGGCCATGTCTGAAGGACTTACCCAGCAGCCACCCTGGGCATTAGTATTCCAGCCAGAGAAGGGTGAGCATTTCAGACTGGTTTGTGCCGGCTTGTGTTCAGTGCTAAGTGACTCTGTGTCCCAGGAACAGGGGTCCCCACTGAAGGAGGAGGAGGGCCGGGGCCCCATGGGGGTAAGGCCAGAGCTGGGATTGGCAGGAGGACGTGGATTTGTCGAGCTCCTCCTCAAAGCAAAAAGCAAGATCTGAGCAGGAAGTCCAGGCTCCTTGCAGGAGTGGATGGTGTGGAAACCATGTTTCTTTAACTTGGGTAACTTCCCCGTGTCCACGCCGGGGTGTGTCAGCTGGCTGCTGTCCACACACTGAGCAGCACTGAGTCCTCACAAACAACCAGCCCCATCCTGAGAGAGGCTGTCAGGGGGAATGTGGACCCCCCCAAGTCTCATCTCACTGTAAGTACCTGTGCCCAGGTCCCCTGGCCCTGGCGAGTAGAAACACACAGTGCTAGGGTGCCTGGCCCGGCTTAGTCCGAGACTCTGGGTGTTGGAATCCAGGTTTGTTTTAGATGGATCATTTCCCCAAGCACTTAAGATGTAAAAGCAGTAAGTTAGGTCTTTTCTCTTAGTAGTAAGAGTGTCCCACTGGGGCAAAGATGGAGACTCAATTTCCCCTTTTCTTTAAGAATTAGCTTCTGTTCAGCCTGAACTAATGTCAGCAGAGCGGAAGCCTTATTTGCACACTTTTTTTTTTTTTTTTCAGATCCTGCAGTCTAAACTGCTACTTACACTGAGCACAGGAAATCGCGTTATTTATAGCGGCTCAAGTGTTTTCAGACAAAGTTGATTGGAGTATTACCTGATTAAGAGTGAGGTTCTTATCTAGTCTCCACAGAATTACAAGGTCGCATGTTGGTGTGATGTGTTTGCTCCTCAAAAGGCAATGTTCAGGAGGAAATTCTTATCCTTGAAAAATCAGGCTGTGTGACTCAGCAAAGGAAATGTTTATGACCGATTGGTTACTCATATGCCAGTGTTTCCAGAATATCTGATCATACTTTAAAGTTTTAACCTCGGTGTCCCACTGGCCATAGGGTTCGGGTTACTAACCTGTTACAGCAGGAAGGCTGTTATATCTCACTGTATGTTAGACATGGGTCAGAGAGAGAGGAATTTTTGTTACTTCACTGCTTTTACTCTGGGACACCCCAATTTTAGCGTGTGTGTGTGTTTTAAAGCAGGTTATTTCCATATTTTCATGGAATGGATTTACCAGAATTTTACTATTCAGACTATCTAGAAAAAATAAAGTAAATAAACTTCTAATTTAAACAAAGCACTGTTTTGACTACATCCAAGATTCAGTGATTCAGAATTCCTGTGCGTTTGCTAGTGGACCACTTCTTAAATCCCCTTTCTGAGACTGATGTTTTTGTTTAGGGGAGGGCCAGAGTTTCAAGTGGTTTTCTCCTTCTTGCTATAAGTTGAGAGCTTTAAAACCTGTGTGAATACTTTGGTCTGGACTGTGAAGGAGAGCTACTTTGTAGTTTAAATTACTGTAGAGATTTACTTTTCGTTTTAACAAAATGTTTCATTTATGCGTTTGTGTCACAGAGCTTGGGGCTTCCCTGGTAGCTCTTATCAGAGCAGCATCGTTTCTGATCCTCAGGTCTGTGTTCTTATCTCTGGCCAGCGGGTGTGGAATTCTCGCTGGGGGGAGAAACAGGAGTGGGCTTTGGGTGTGGGTAGGGTGTCTCCCCAGCAGACTCACTCCTGGTGGGTGCTTCGGCATGCCCGTCTGCTCCCTCGTCTCCTAAGCCTCCTCTGAGCTGGGTTCCCTCTGCTGTGACAGACACTGTGCAGGTGGACACAGTTGGCAGCGTTTCCCAAACCCCCAATGTGTCAGCACTCTTCAGCATTTCCTGTAGCCGTCTTCCCGTGCCCTGGCGGATCTCAGAGGCGGTTGGGTTATCTCCACTTACACATAAAGAGAAGATGGGCTCAGAAAGTTCAGGGGACTTTCCCAAGACTGCACAGCCACAGGCCGCGGGGCCTGTTGGGCCCAGGCAGGCTGGTTCAGAGCTGATGCTGGTCACTGCCACCCCCATCCCGCCTGCTCGGGCGAGGCCTGGCGAGGCGGCGGGAGAACACCCTTGCTGTTGTCAACCTGCCTCGTGAGCTCTGGGCCTGCACAGCCCCAGGGTCAGGCCGAAGGACTTCTTTCTGCTAAGGCAGCCTCTTCGGACACATGTCCTTGCAACTGAAGTCTTGATTTGATTAACATTTCCTTTCTATTTCTGGTAGTTTTTCAGACAAAAGAACACTCAATGGGTTATTTTTTCTAAATAAGGACATGAATAGAAACCACATAGCTGCCAGCATTTTATTTTTCTATAGTTCATACCGTACCCACATTTTAGCCGTCACTTGGGTCAGCCCACAGCGGGAACTGCTGGGTACCAGCCTCATTCCCACATGTTGTAAAGCTCCTCCCCACCGTCCAAGCAGACGAGCCTGTTGAGGATGGAGATGAGAGCTTCTGGCTCTTTCCTAGCTGGTTCCAGGAGTATCATTGGGCAGAGGAAAGGGTGTTAGTAATTGTGTGCCACCAGCGTGAGAAAGCATGGGGCTGCTGCAGCGTCCAGTCTTTTTTTGAGAAGGAACAATGTCAGTGTTTTGTGTCACCTTAAAGGTGTGTGTGTGTGTGTGTGTGTGTGTGTGTGTGTGTGGTTGGGGCTGGGGAGGGGCTTCCCAGATGGCTCATTGGTGAAGAATCTACCTGCAATGCAGGGGAGACAGGTTCAATCCCTGGGCCGGGAAGATCCCCTGGAGAAGGACATGG